AACAATATAAATGTAGTTTATGTATGTCACTAAGCAGTATAACTGTAGTTTATGTGTGTCACTAAGCAGTATAACTGTAGTTTATGTTTGTCACTAGCAGTATAACTGTAGTTTACGTATGTTAACAATATAACTGTAGTTTATGTAAGTCACTTAGCATTATAACTGTAGTTTACGTATGTAAACTAGTTTATGTATGTAGTTTATGTGTAGTTTATGTATGTCACTAGCAGTATAACTAGTTTATGTGTGTCACAAGCAATATAAATGTAATTTATGTACGTCACTAGCAATATAACTGTAGTTTGTATATGTCACTAAGCAGTATACCTGAAGTTTATGTATGTCAATAAGCAGTATAACTGTAGTTTACGTATGTTAACAATACACCTGTTGTTTATATATGTCACTAAGCAGTATAACTGTAGTTTATTATGTTAACAATATAACTGTAGTTTATGTATGTTAACGATAAAACTATAGTTTATGTATGTTAACAATGTAACTGTTGTTTATGTATGTCAGTAAGCAGTATACCTGTAGTTTATGTATGTCACTAGCAATATAACTGTAGTTTATGTATGTCACTAGCAATATAACTGTAGTTTATGTATGTCACTAGCAATATAAATGTAGTTTATGTATGTCACTAGCAATATAACTGTAGTTTATGTATGTCACTAAGCAATATACCTGTAGTTTATGTATGTCACTAGTAATATAACTGAAGTCTATGTATGTCACTAAGCAGTATACCTGTAGTTTATGTATGTCACCAGCAGTATACCTGTAGTTTATGTATGTCACTAGCAGTATAACTAGTTTATGTGTGTCACAAGCAATATAAATGTAATTTATGTACGTCACTAGCAATATAACTGTAGTTTGTATATGTCACTAAGCAGTATACCTGTAGTTTATGTATGTCACTAAGCAGTATACCTGTAGTTTATGTATGTCACTAAGCAGTATAACTGTAGTTTATGTATGTCACTAGCAGTATAGCTGTAGTTTACGTATTTTACTCAGCAGTATAACTGAAGTTACGTATGTTATTCAACAGTATAACTGTAGTTTGCGCATGTTACTCAACAGTATAACTGTAGTTTATGTATGTCACTAAGCAATATAACTGTAGTTTATTTATGTCACTAAGCAATATAACTGTAGTTTATTTATGTCACTAAGCAATATAAATAGTTTGTGTATGACACTAAACCTGAAGTTTATGTATGACACTAAGCAATATAACTGTAGTTTATGTATGTCACTAGCAGTATACCTGTAGTTTATGTATGTCACTAAGCACGGCCAGCTCCAGTAAGGCCTTACAACTGAATCACGGCACATTTTTTAGGAGTCCCCCTCGAAAAAAGGTTACTGCAAGCGTTTCCATGTTGCATTTTGTGACATAATATGCTTACAAACTTCTGTGTTCTGATTGTATTCGTATTACAAATCGACAAGCGGATATTGTAAAGTGTACATACAGGCTGTTAGATTACAGCAATTTTAATTGTAATTCACGGGAGACAGTCGTGTTGTGATGTGTGTGTCAGTGTCACTGTTTCTAGTCAGTAGTTCGGATTTTTGGGAACTGGCTGTTTATTACTTTTCTACTTTAAATGTAGAAATCTAACTTTTAGGGATAATACAAACAGGTAATTTAGAAGCCATATCTGGAGAATATCGACAGTTGTCAGGTGCAAACTATCTTGTGTTTGAAGAAAAATATTACTTTCATATTGACTGTGCATAAATGGTGCAACCACACTGTGGATAAATTGTGTCAAGATATTTCGGAGCTCTAGGTAAGTGGATGAAAATAATTTTTAATTTACTAACTAACCTCTCACAGCAAGTCACTCTTTGCCTCTTTACTAATTGTTGACTAACAGTTGACTAATTATATGTTTGTTAATTTGTGTAAACTGGCTTTTGCTTTGCTTCGCAAACACTGGCTGTAAACTCTTGCAGAAACTTTTGGTTGCTCATCCACTTCTTTTGCATATTTGCAGTTCTACGGTCTGTTAATTTGTGTAAACTGGCTTTTGCTTTGCTTCGCGAACACTGGCTTAAACTCTTGTGCAAACTTCTGGTAGTTCATCCACTTCTTTTGCATATTTGCAGTTTTACGGTCTGTGTTAATTTGTGTAAACTGGCTTTTGCTTTGCTTCGCGAACACTGGCTGTAAACTCTTGCGGAAACTTCTGGTAGTTCATCCACTTCTTTTGCATATTTGCAGTTCTACGGTCTGTGTTAATTTGTGTAAACTGGCTTATCCTTTGCTTCGCGAACACTGGCTATAAACTCTTGCGGAAACTTCTGGTTGCTCATCGACTTCTTTTGCATGTTTGCAGTTGTACGGTCTGCATATTTGTTACCAAAACTTTCGCAATGATAAGGAATTGATTTCATCCAACAAGATGAAACTGGACAAATTTGTTTGTGCTGTTTGTACCTTGAGGATATATATTTAGTAGTGCTATAAGTACTGTTAAGAAAACTATTCTGGGTGAAAAAAGTATTGCACATGTCAATTTCATACTGATTGTGCTTGTTTAATAATTATTAAATAATTTTATGCGCTAAATTTGATAAAGTACAAATGTCTCTCTCCCCCCCCCCTCCCCCCGCTCCTCTGATGCAGCAATACCCTCTCAGAATCAAAGAGTTAGCACTGATATTTCTTTACTTTTGCTGGAACAACTTTTAGTTTACATCTAAACATTATTGCTGTTTATGTTCATGTTGACTGTAGCAAAAGCATTTTTGTTTGTCTGTAAAAGCCTTTATTGTTATATTTAATTGGCACACTTATTTACCTTAAAAATGACGTATAGTTCTAAAAAATATGTCGAACATTAATGAAACTGTAGTTTAATTTGTGTATACATCTCCTCGATAAAAACTGGACACACAGGGACTCAATTCTTGCACAAGAACGGGAATTCCCGTTTGAGCTGTGCGGCCTTATAAATCTGGAGCTGGCCATGTCACTAAGCAATATAACTAGTTTGTGTATGTCACTAGCAGTATACCTGTAGTTTATATATGTTACTAGCAGTATAGCTGAGTTTATGTATGTCACTAGCAGTATACCTGTAGTTTATGTATGTCACTAGCAGTATACCTTTAGTTTATGTATGTCACTAAGCAGTATAACTGTAGTTTATGTATGTCACTAAGCAATTTAACTAGTTTATGAACATTTTTCAGCAGTATAACTGTTTATTTAAGTTATTCAGCAGTGAAACTATAATTTGTGTAAACTATTTGTGTGGTTTATGTAATGTATGTTACTCATTAGCTAAAAAAAAATAGCATTGGTATATGGGACAGTATTATAGATGTATATTCTGTGTGTCACTGATTAACAGACTTGTAATTTGTGTGTTGTTAATATTACCTATGTTATCAGGACTTTCAATTCAAACAAAGGTTAGTAATACAGCATCCTACCATACCTTTCATGAAAAGTAATTAGGGATAGAGTGAAACTAACTGCAAATCCAACAAGAGTTAACATCTGTGACTGAGATTTTATGAATAACAGTGTTTAATTCATCTGCATGTGATTTGTCAGCAGACCAGTTTGCCGTGATTTAGACAACAGTGTGGGCGTTGAACCATTATGAAAATAATGGCAACATTCTGAATCATGTAAAAGCATGTTGTTGAGTTGAGTTGAGTAAAGAATTGACATCACAGCACTAGTTGCATTCCCATGAACGCTCTCTGTCCTCATCTTCAGCAGCCAGCACAGAGTTCCAATACTAATGGCACCAGTTGTAATCTGGTTATATGTCCATCTTGCCTTTCCTCTGAGTTTAGTGAGTCAGCCAGACCCTCTGGTTAAACCTAGGTGCCTCATTCCCTCCAGGCCATAATAATCTTGTGTCTCTTCTGACTCTGTTACTTGTTCCCAAAGGGCTTTGAACACATCTGTCACGACATGTATCAATTCACCACCCAGTGCTGCAGATCCAGCCAATCTGTCTGCCTGTTAATTCTTCACCACGCCTGCATGGCCTGGAAAAAATATCAAAAGTATGCTCATTACCCGTGACCTTCCTAGTGAAGCTTGCCACTCTTCTTGAAACATCCCTGTCTTCACCTTTCTCAGCATGCTTTCAGAGTCTGTTACAATTATAATATGTGTATTCATCTTGTTCTCTAGCTACCAGAAAGCTGCAGTGACTGCCTCCACCTCCATTCTCATGCAAGATGTGGTATCATATGCTAGGCTGTCCTGCACTAAAGATTTTCCATTGGCTTTTGCTAGGTACCCAAAGGCACTTCTCTTCCCTCTCAACACTGAACCATCTGTTTAGATAATCAATGTATCTGGTGAGAATGGTTTTGAATCAACTGTTAGACTTCCACCTCCATAGCACCCTCAGGCTATTTTCTGCACTCCCGGCCCAATATGATAATGACCCTACATAGGTCAGACTTTTCCTCTGGTACTGTGATCTACTCCTCTCCTCGCCCAGTGTTCTCCAGCATGCATACTTAACTTATTGTGTCTTCTGCTTGTGCCAAAGCTTCATAAAAAGGGTGCTCTTTGTCTGCAGCTACTCTGAGGAATCTATTAACTGGAGCATATTTAGCCTATCTGCAGTGGTCGGGAATACAATGATGTATCACATGCACACAGTCAGGGTGTCTATTGTACATTCCAGGATCACCCGCATAGCTTCATTCTGTATGCTCTCAAGTTTCTCTAGCTGACTCTTCAAGACAGTGAGTAACCCCGGTCCATAATAAATCACTGAGATGATTAAGTGCCGGTAAAGTGAACAGCATTCTCTGCTCCATGTCCATTGAAAGCATGTTGTAGAATCATAAACAACAGCGTTGTAAAAGATTATTGTTGTAATAATTATATTTATGATATTTCATTATGTCAGATATTGTAACAAATGGCCAACAAAGAAGTTTACATACTAACTAAAAGTAATGGAAATACTTATTAATGTTTATATCTACTCTTGCAGGAACTGTGCAGCATGCTGACCATTTGCAACAACAGCAGCAACAGTGGCAGCACCATGACCAGCAACAACTGCCAGCACAACTTCATCAACATCACTCCCTTGTTGGGGAAAACAAGCCTGCACGAGGTCGCGGCAGAGGTCGTGGAAGAGGCCGCAGTCGTGGTGGGTCAGGTGAAAAGTTTCCACGTCCCAGGACATGGTCTGGGGGAGAGGATCGCTTTGTGGAGTGTCAGAAGGAACTGCTGTTGGTGAAATTTGATAACACTGCAGGGGATAACAGTGTAGAAGTAGAGTATGATGATGATGAATTTCTTCCGTCACCACCCAACACTTCCAAGGCACCACAGCCTGCTACAACTCAGGGAAGAGGCCCCACAGGCCGTACTCCAAATCAGGCCTCCAACCAGCAAGCTCGTGGGGTCAGGCCTCAACAGCAGAAGAACAAAGCAGCACAGCACAAAGACGACCCTCAGATAAATCTGCAAATACCTACAGAAGGCCAATGGAATAACTCCACACCTCAGACAGCAGTAGATCAATTTATGGCTGCCTTTGGTACAGAAGGGATTCATGCACACACTCCCGGTCACTCCCAAGGCTTTAGAGATGGTGATGAATGGGAAGATGACACAGAGACTTCTGCTGTACAAGAGGAGAATGATTCTGGCATTTCAAGCATGGTGCAGTCTAGCACCACAAGTAGCTCAATCCATGATTTGCACTTAGAGTGCAGACTCAACCCTGAAGCTCCAGAGTTCTTGCCCACCTCTGCAGATTTGATTAAATCACCAAATGAAGCTGCAGATACCTCTCCCTGGAACTCAGCCAGCAGGTCGCCTTCTCCACTGTCACAAGATTCTGCATTCTCTCCACAACTGACACCAAAGCTGTCCACATCTCCACATACCCATCCTGCCATTCACTTACAAGAATCCTCTGCCCCATTGAGAAGGGGAGTGGACACTGTGCTTCAAAATTACCAGCCACTACTAATGCCGGGTGAGGAATCAAAAGTACTGGCAAGGAAACAGGCCAGAGTTGGTGATCCCACTGTAAGTATATTGCTTCATGCTTTGCACAAAACTCGCTGAAGTGTCTTCATGTTTATCACCAGAGTTTGGGATTTGTTTTCAATAGTTTATGCTAAGGTTATAAACTCTCTCAAATGAAGCATACCCATGTTTTTGTTGTCATCATTGTTGCTTCTGTTAGGCATCATCTATCATCTTCTGGGACTGAAAGAGTTAAGAAGATGGAGATAGCTTTTTCATTTTTTGCAGAATGCCTCATGACACTTTGGCAAGGCCAGCTGTCTGGTATGTCACTATGTATGTTAACAATGAGATGTGGACTTCTTCTTTAGTTCTGTTCTGCCATGTCTAGTTTGAGAATGGAGGTGGAGGTAGTCTCTGCTGCCTTCCGCTGTCTTGAGAATCAGCTGTACACACATGCCATGATTGTAACTGACTCACAGAGCATGTTGAGAAGATTAAAACAGGCATGCTTTGTGCTAGGGCAAGCATCACTTAAGAGGTACAGGGTATTTAGCATCCTTTGGATATTTTTTCCAGGTCATGCCGGTGTGTTGGGAACTGAGCAGGCTGGCAGATTGACTGGCTCTGCACCACCTGGCGGTGAATTGATGAATGACAAGTTAGATATTATGTGGAACAGTGTGGAGGCGCAGATAGATCATTACGATCTGAGGAGAATGGTGATAGGAGGAGTTACCAGGGGATCTGGCCGACGCTCAGCACTCAAGGGAAAAATGAGACGGATATACAATCAGGTGGTTACTGGGACCATCGGAGTTGGAACTCTTCACTTGCTGCTGAAGTTGGGGACTGAGCACTTATGGGAGTTTCCTGATTGCTGTGATGTCGAATCCTTATTCAACATTCAGCATAGTCCTGTTCTGCCTTCAGTCTAAGTTTTTAAAGAGGGTTGGGTGTGAGCCTTGGCATATGCTACATAGATGTTGGTATTTATGGCCTCGGATGTTCCATCAATAAACCTCCACCTCTTCTTCCATTGTGTCTAAGTTATAGGGCTCTCTGTGGAGATGTGGACAACTGAAGGAAACCCGAGAATGCCAGTAAAAAGGGGAGCGGAGGAATGTAAAATGACATGGGATACCATGGGCAGAAAAGCAGCACAATGTTTCAACAATGACATGAAGAGGATATAGAACCTTTTAGTTCCAACGTGTGATGTGTTATACTTTTATGTTCAGTCTGAACAAGTTTAACTTTGAGTCCCAGTGGGTTTAGCATCATAGGCCCATGGGATAGTCAAGATGGATGTAAAACTGTCGCATCTTGCGTTCATTGGGATTCTAGGTAGAACCTTTGAACGTATGATGCTTTCTTTGGGACTTTGGGACTATTTTTATTACCATAATTAACAACATGTGTTTTACTTAAAAAAAAAGAGAAAACTCTTGCTTCTGTGAGTTTTGATTGTAGTTCCTGCCCCTGTTGGACACCCCTGTAAAATATTCTGAAACCAAAAGAGTTAAAGATTTTACTATATGTTTGCTTACTTTGATTGGATTACATTTTGTACCTAGTAAGTTGCTTTTGGTATCTTATACTCCAGATAATTATTGTCGTCACCCTGTTGTGTCAGTTATATGTCACATAGAGCTCACATTATGAGTTTACAAAAAAGTGAGAAAGCAGGGTTTATATGGAATGAGATCTTTCAGCAGAAAAAAAATCATGCAACACAGGCATAAAATTGTAACCAATAATCAGACATAGAAATATGTAATCAAGATTCAATAGATAAAACACTTGCCAATTGTTTCTTTTGAAATTATGATGCGCTTATAAATTAAACATACGTTTTCATTGCTTTTCCAGAGCTCAGAAGTTCCAAAGCCCAATGAAAAACCTGAGATCATAGATGTCAATGTGTCTTGTCTCACCAGTAAAAGAAGTGATACTAAAGACACCATACATACTTCAAATGATGTGGATAGAGCAAATGCTCTGTCAGATGCCTTTAGTAAAGCCAGGAAAGATGCATTAGAAAGCAACAAGGCTGCCGCAAACAAAGAGAAAACCACAAGTGGTAATATTTCTGCTTCGCATCCTAAAAGAATGACACACAATTCTTTGTCAGAAGACACAAAGAATATCTCCAAAGAGTCTGCAACTTGTCTTGCTGCTGAGAATACTCGGGACAATGTGGTTGCCAAAGACTTGCTGCGGGATGTGTCAAAGATGCATGGCTCATCTGAAGGGACCACAGAGTCCATCACAAATGGTGATGGATCTGATCAGTGGAAGCTGAATGGAGTATCTGTAGATTCTAAAGACCACATGCTTGCCACACATGAGCATGGTGTGATTGCAGGGAGTCTTAAAGAGAACTTCAACGTGCAAGAGGACCTCAAAACACATCCGCATGCAGTAGCTGTAGGAAGTCTCAAAAAGGACTCCAACGTACAAGAGGACCTCATAACACATCCGCATGCAGTAGCTGTAGGAAGTCTAAAAAAGGACTCCAACGTGCAAAAGGACCTCATAACACATCCGCATGCAGTAGCTGTAGGAAGTCTCGAAGAGGACTCCAACGTACAAGAGGACCTCATAACACATCCGCATGCAGTAGCTGTAGGAAGTCTCAAAAAGGACTCCAACGTGCAAGAGGACCTCATAACACATCCGCATGCAGTAGCTGTAGGAAGTCTCAAAAAGGACTCCAACGTGCAAGAGGACCTCATAACACATCCGCATGCAGTAGCTGTAGGAAGTCTCAAAAAGGACTCCAACGTACAAGAGGACCTCATAACACAACCGCATGCAGTAGCTGTAGGAAGTCTCAAAAAGGACTCCAACGTACAAGAGGACCTCATAACACAACCGCATGCAGTAGCTGTAGGAAGTCTCAAAGAGGACTCTAACGTACAAGAGGACCTCACAACGATTAAGCATGGCACAGCTGTTGGGGGTCTCAAAGAGGACTCCATCATACATGATGACCTCACAATACATCAGCAAGGTGTAACTGTAGGAAGTCTCAAAGAGGACTCCAACGTACACGATGACCTCACAACCCATGAGCATGCAGTAGCTGTAGAGGGCTTCAAAAAAGACTGCAATGGACAAGAGGACCTCAAGGAACCAGCAGCAACAGTGACTGCAAGCATCAGTGGTCTTTGTGATCCTGCACAAGTCAGTGAACTAAATGGATCAAAGAATGCCCCTAAAGCAGATGAGTCAACACTGCCCACTGCTGACATTTGTGCATTCTCATAGAATCACACCAGGTAAATTTTGTGTTTTTGTTTCATGTCGTAGATTGACACCAGGCAGATTGCTTGATATAGATTTATACCAAGTAATTTGTTTACAGAGATTACATTAGTGTATTGGTATGGTTTATGTAGCAATCCTTTTTCTTCTTCTTCTTCTGCCTTTCTATTCCCCAGTGGAGCATAAGCCCTTAACCAACTCATGCCAAGTCGTTCTATCCTTCCCCATTGCATGGAGCTCTCCCCATGTCCTCCCCATCTTTCTAACTTCATTCTCCAGCTCTCTTGTCCATGTGTTTTTTGGCCTTCCTTTATTCCTATGCCCCTGTGGTTTCCAATGCAAAGACATTCTAGTTATGCTGTTCTCCGGTTTTCTCAGTGTGTGTCCTATCCAACGCCAGCGTTTTTTCCTCACCTCTTGGTCCACTGGAGCCTGTTTAGTTCTCTCCCAACGCTCTACATTAATTATTCTTTCATACCATTCAATTCTTTTTATTCTGTGCAGGCACCAGTTAATGAATGTTTTTTAATCCTTTTTAATACATAAAAATTATGACTGGAAAGAACAATTTACAAGGGAAAACTGTGGTAATCCAGCCTCATAAATCCATGACCTAGCACATATTCTAGTTTTACACTCTTATTGCAGTATTCACTATCGGGATTACTTTCTGTTTTATACCTAGCTCTGTTTCTATACTAGAAGTTTATAATGAACAACACAGAACGACAGTGTATCTTCTTTTTCTTTTAAATCAGTTTCTTACACTCAGGTTATCAATTGTGTTGCCTCCATGAATCAGACTGTCAGCAGCAAGTCTTGAAGGGTTCCCCTAAGTGTGTCCTAGATTCCTCTTTCCTCTGGCCATGTGTTTTCTTGCATTTTTTTTGCTGTTGGGAGCAGTTCTGCAGTATGTGCTCAGGTGTTTGGTGTGTGAAGAGAGAGAGATACTGGCAAATTGTGCAGCACTTATTCTGTGCATGTGTGCATTATGTCTGCTATAGGTATTATTGACTGTGGGTGTTTGTCGTATGGCAGTTTTGTCACATACCTTCACTTCCAGATTACTTTCCCAAAATCATCAGATACTCTGAGATAGGGGTGTTCTGAATGGTGGCTCTTGTTTGTCTAGGGGCGAAGTCCTCGGTTCAAACATCCATTCAGCCTATCTCAGGAATGAGGTGACTAGAGCTCTGACTCCTCAGGGTTAACGCAAACTCTTGGGTACCACTCGGCCAGACATCCTCATGACTAATTTTGCCCCCAGACTGATAAACGACTTTAACACAGTCGAATATATAAACAACAGTTGATTAGACAAGACATTATTATCATCTCAACAACCACAAGTAACTAAATGAACTTCGTTCAAGAACAAGAAAATTTCTGAACAAAGATCATAGTGTAATAGAATGTTAAAACATTAGGAGACAACATATTTCACTGAAACAGAACAAAAGTTCAACTTGAAGTTGCAGAACTAGAATTAACAGACAGGTCTTCTTCAGGTGCCAGTAACAGATCCTTTTTCATCCCTGCACTGAGAGAGAAGCAAGATAGCGTGAGGTTCCTTGCAGATAACTGGACTTAGCTTATGGGAGTCCTCAAGTGTCTCAGCAACACATGACTGTAGAGCTCTATGTTTTCTTGACTCTTCACGCACTGCGTGAAGTGATACTTCTCAGCGCACGTCACAAAGGGAAGGATCAATTCATCTTTCAATGACTTTCGCTGGTGTCGACCTCAACATGCAGACCACATACTAGTTGATAATCATCGCTCGACTTCTTCTGTGAAGTAACTCGGGCGTTGTTAGCAATAAGATGCAATATTACCTGATGCTTAGGCACTCTACATTTACACAGATGTTACTCGATTAGACCGGATGGGGGTTGAAAGGACAGTCCGGCTATAGCTTTGACACTTGTTGATTCTGCGGCATCCTGCAATTAACAAGGCGATATCTATGTACACACCTCACTCAATACACCTTGCCAATCACACACTCCTCACTCTCAGTATGTGCTCAGAGGTAACTATGTGGCCAGTCATTAAGGTTGACTTTTCACTTAGGAGCCTTTACGATTACTTAGAGTGAGTTAAAGAGTTAGATGTTTCTATTGATTCTAACAGCCTCTGAATCCTATTTCGTAGCGAAATCCAGTCAGGAGACCAATTAAAACATCATATCAGATCATACAAGTTTCTCAAGACATTAATTACACTCCAGACAGGTGGATTGATCGATCCGAATAGGTTTAGAACGCAGGCTAGAAGAATTTATGAAGATATTTCAGCCGAAAGTGCATTCACTTCAGCGTTTCTATCGTCTCTCGTCGAAGGCAATCGTGGACAGAGAGATTCAGCGTTATCATCCTCCTTACCTTTTCTCGCAAACACATACAGGCACTGAGCACAAATATATATTTCCCTTTAAGGAAAACTCACCCATGCAAACTAATATTTTTATAGAAAACGGTTAATGATCAAGTGGCCGCAGTGCCAAGACACTACTGTTCACTTAACGGACTGAGCAGTAGTGACGTACACAATTCTAGTCCCTAACTACGACCGTTGAGTAAGGATGCGGCTCAAGCATGCAGTGAAGCGGTCAAACTATTGAGCTTGAACAGGTGCAGAAAACGTGTTGTATCATACATATTGACACTATACGCCAAGAAGGATTGATTTAGGAGTGATTTATCTATGTTTTTCACAGCTGGACTCCCCAACAACAAACGGACTATATATCTACGGACGGACTATCCGAGATTATAGATACACCAATTAGTATGTGGGGTGTCCAGACTGTAGGCAGGTCTGTTGTGGTAGGGAAGTTACTGCTGTTATGTGACAGTGTTATTGGCTATGGCTGCTTTGGCAATGGGTGTTATTGGTTATGGGCATTATTGGCTATAGGTGTTATTGCTTATGGGTGTGATTGGTTATGGGTGTTATTGGTTATGGGTGTGATTGCTTATGGGTGTGATTGCTTATGGGTGTGATTGGTTATGGGTGTTATTGGTTATGGGTGTGATTGGTTATGGGTGTGATTGACTGGATATTGACTGTGGGTGTTATTTGACTATGAGTATTATTTACTATGGGTATTATTGGCTGTGGGTGTTACTGACTTTAGGTAATGTTGGCTATGGGTATTATTGGCTGTGGGTGTTACTGACTTTAGGTAATGTTGGCTATGGGTATTATTGGCTCTGGGTGTTACTGACTTTAGGTAATGTTGGCTATGGGTATTATTGGCTGTCCATGTTATTGGCTTCTGATTAGAAGCCGATTATAAACAGCATATTCATACCAACACTGTGCTAGACTCACATTTGTTTTTAACCTTTCAGCACTCGGTGGGTAATGTGGTCAGCATCCTGCTGGCTGCCTTTACTTTCCAGGACATTACCTGGTACCCATTTTAAACTGTACTGAGCTAAGGTCAGTTTTGACAGAATCTGATTCAGTGTGGACTCAGACCCCAGTTGACAGATAAGCATCTTGCTAATACACTGCTGCAACTCCTGTGTTTTTTTTTAAAAAGTAATCATGAATATAAATGTTGAGATATTTTGTGTAATAAAATCATGTTTTTTCCATCATCTGCAGTGACTTGCCTTCTCCTTGAAGTCGTACTTGCATCTGGCAGACCCATTTCGTCTGAACTGGTCAAGTTGGCTACAAGAAAATTGAAGGATTTTACAAGTGTCTGGCCATTTCGAAATCTGTCAAGAACATATGCAAATATTTAGTTGTTATGTGTGTGGATTTACAGCTGGTTTTTAAGTAATAGTTTTCTTGATTAGAACTGAAAGCTTGTTATAAACCCAAGAGGCTGTATGATTTCTATCTTCTTTTTGTTTTGTTTTTGTTGTTACTAGCTTTTTTTAAAAATCACTTGTAATTGTCATTTATAAATAATCTGTGGATGGTTTATCGATATTTGTACTCAAGAATGCTGCGTGTGAACCTGAATGAGGATATATTTTTGCTGGTCTTAGTAACTATCCTTACAAGGTAACTCAAGTATGCTATTTAGAAAGAAAAAAAATAATTGCTGTACTTAAAGCTACTTTTATCATTTCACATTGTACATGGCATTTTTTGCATGGCTTTATTATAAACCTTCAGAATTTTGGGTTGACATTAAGAAGCATGTTTGGTTTTAGAAAGAAGAAAAGCATCTGAAATTTAGCGTACATACTGTTTATTATACGTGTATTATCCCCTGATTTGTTTTTATTGTACAGTGAATATATAATGCGATCTATCATGGATCTGTCAGGAATTGTGGCTGGTGGTTATAATTTAAACAACCTAATGATACCGTATTGATAACAACAGGTCAGAAAGAACTACAGGAATTGATTGATACTGTGGTGGCAGAAAGTGATAAAATGAGTCTCAGTCTGAATATTGGGAAGACAGAAAAGTAATGGTGATTTCCAAGAAAAGAACAGTGCCTAAATGTGTAATAACAGTCAAAGGCATTATTTTAGGAAAGATACATAAGTTTAAGTATCTAGGCACATTGCTTACATCCAACGAAAGATGATAAAGATAAAGATACAGATAAAGAATACTACATGTCAAAACTGCATTTTATACAACAAAGAACATTTTATGCAATAAATCCAAAAAATCAAGTGTACATATATTTTATGAGGTTAAAAACAGTGGGAGTGACTACTTAGAAAGTCAGAATTATTTAATATATTCTAGGCAGATGTAAACTTGTTGATGACACATGATGCCATTTTAGATTCTTACAGCAAGCTAGTCACTTCTGCTGCACCATAGTAAAAGAGTTAATTAATAATTTTTACGAAAACTCGATCACAGAAGACGAACAAATTTAACTTAAGAATATAAATGATAAAGACATGCAGCTAAACTATGGTAACTGAGCTGGTAATAACTAACATAGACAGAAGTTAGGTAGCAGATGGTTTTGTGAAATAATCCAAAAGGTAAGAAGATGGCAGTCCAGAAGCAGT